TTTTCCGTCAACACGGACTCCCAGAGTCGATTGTCTCTGATAGAGACCCCCGTTTCACAGGAAAATTTTGGCCGACCATCTGTCAGGTGCTCGGCACTAAGTTAGATATGTCGACAGCGGATCCATCCCAGACTGATGGCCAAACCGAAAAGGTGAATCGCGTCATTGAAGACGTTCTTCGCAGCGTCTGCGCTGAGACGCCGAGGCGCTAGAGCGCCATGTTGTCACCCGTATAGTTTCGCACTGAACAATGCAGTGCATTCGTCTACCGGCTTCATGCCGTTCTACGTGAACGGGCTGTTCACCCTCGCATCCCGCTGACGCCACCATCCCATGGCTTAGGGCTTGGACGGGGAGGAATAGCCGACGGCTAGCTGATGTCAGCCCACTCACCATCCGTAAAGAAGTCGATGACTTCTTGTCTACCGGACTGAGTGTCCTACGACACGTTTGCAATGCGATGGCTGAAAGCCAAGACCTGCAAAAAGAATATGCAGATGAAAAAGGAAGAGGCAGAGTGGAAAGATTTAAGGTCGTGGACCTGGTTTTAATAAATGCTTAAAACCTGCCTACACATGTAGCCTCTGCTGTCTTCAGGATGAAGCTTCGTCCACGCTTCATCGGACCATTTAAGGTTGTGGCCAAGCGGGGCCTAACGTATACGCAAACCTCCCAAAATGGATGCGCATCCACCCGGTATTTTACGTGGGCTTGCTTAATCTGTACCAGGATCCGGCGCAAGCGAACGTGAAAGCGTTGGTGCCGGAGTGGATCCCACGGGCCCTCAGCCAAAATCAGCAGATGGATCTGAACACGGAGTGCAACAACCTCAATTTCTAATGGCGCCAAGCGCTCCACCGTCGCATGCAGTGACGCAGTCGCCTTCTTTACGGCTAGGAGTCGCACCGACAGAGCGCGGTAGTCCTCAAGGCGAGGCAGTCAGCGCACGACGTGCTTTAAATCGTCAAGAACGTCCACACAGCGATATGCTACTTCAGCATGACGCTCAGCGGAGCTCTGATCACTAAAGACCTGGTCCTCAAGGGCTCGAAGAGCAGCACCAGTCACCAGCGCGGTCGATCCGGTCGTCACTGCCCGCCACCGACTCTTTCTCGATGAGAACGGTGACGTCCACTATCACGTAGAACGTCTAGTAAGACGACGTCGTCACCAGGGTCAGACCCAATATCTTGTGAAGTGGCGGGGATATCCACTCCGACAACTCGTGGGAGTTTGAGGCGCCACTTCGGCAAGATTGCTTTTGATTGGAAAGATCAGGACGTCCCGCATCATCATACGCCCCGCGCTTCCCGGTAATAGCCATGAAAGTAGAAGGGTCATGAGCTGAGCTCAAGCAGTGGCCCTGAGCTCTTGCGGTCGAAAACACAGAGCTCGCGGGAGCA